GGACAACCGTTTAACTGAAGTAAAACGGGTTTTCCCCTTGCTATGGATGTCTGCCTAGTTCAGTTCATCCACATTCCGCTACAGTTCGCCTTTATTATCAGTTCGAAATGGGGTGGTTCCATAATATCCGCAGTGTTCCATAATACCACCTTCTCCTCTACTGTTTTGATGCATATATAAAATAAATATTTCATTACTTTTTTCTTATCCTTTTCATGTCAATTTAAAAAATTTCAATTAAAAAAATTATAAAAATTGTTTATTTGTCATCATTGCTTTTGAATACGATGAAAATACTGTAATATGCATACTCCTACATTGTAGTAACCACGCGCTTTTCGAAGTACAATGCAANGAAAATACTGTAATATGCACCTACTTTGTGATTGAAACCACACGCTTTTCAAAGTACAATGCAACGCTTTTTAAAGTATATACAAGACACAAGTGTCCACGTCGTTCTTCTCTGGTAGTTGGCCTGGTACTGGGACTGGGAACGTGAAGGCCAAGCAATGTGGTTTGGGCGAACTCGTGACAAGTCGTGCGTACACGTAGCGTAGAACATTTTACATTAACATGCGATTAGTGATAGTTTCTTTGCTTACTAGATATCTCGTAGCAAAATAGAACTGACAATGAGTTATCTTGAACTACACTTAAGTAAATTTCCAAGAAAATGCCTAAAGGCTCTAAACTTTGCGACACCCGAAACGTGGCGCCGTGGCACCCTAAGGTGCCGCGACACCCCGGTTGAAAAACACTGCTCTAACCCCTTGTGACATTTTATTATTACTTCAAAATGTATTCTATGAAAATTAAAGAGCTAGTGACTCACGTCAAATACTATTCTTCCAGTCGTGTAGATGTTGGGAAGAAGATTTCGAGAAGAGAAATTTGGACAAAATTGGGCTACCGGTCAGAAATAATTTGGATTTAAAATTTCCGATAAGGTGTGCCGGGTGATGGTCAAACGGGATGATGATAGAATATAGGCTATTCCAAACAGAAATTATAATCTATAACATAAATTTGACTGTCCAAAAAGTATTTTTTAATCATTTTTATACACGCAAATATTAAAGAATGATGCAGAAATTCTTCAAATTAAAATTTATTCGAATTAAAATTATATTCGATATATTTATTTGCTAAATTCGAACGCATTTAGGTCATGCACGTGTTAAATACACGTCTGAGTTTAAAAGTGTGTCAGATAATCTGCATAATTTACAATTCCAATTATTTATTTCTTCCCTGTTGTTTTATTCCTTGTAAAATACATTATTTATGATTAAACTCGATTAAAATTCTTCAAAGGAAGGCAAAACTATATCATTTGTAAGCATTAATATCCATTGCTTTACATGAAATCACAAACCGGCGAAGCTTTCAGATTCGGAAAGATTCGCATTTTGGAGGATTTAAGGCCGTCACAGAGGGCTTTTAATGGAAATATCACAGATTATCATGCAAAAAGAACGTTTAGAGTTCTTTTCTATGTAACATTGAATGAATAAAGCTCGAATTTAAACTCACTTATAAAATCTTCATCTTTTAAATAACACGAATGAAAAATAATACAGGAAAACCTGTGTAAAGCGGAACACGGAAATAAACACGTGGAATTGTAAATAAATATTTCACGTCATTAGGTGTATGACGAATTGCACTGTGACGTAGGCAATTTTTTTCCGCATCCAAATGCGGAAAAAAATTAGCGACGTTTGTGAGTAAATAGAGTTGTGGATCGTCAACAAGCGGTGGCTTTTAACCGCGTACGAACAGAAAACACGAGAAATGAATAAGTTGACGTTTATATTCATCATTATCGGTGAGTTTCATTGTTTTATATTATTTTATATATTATTACGAAGCGGTTCTATTACCATAGTACAATAGTATGTGCTTTAAAATTCCATATATTACGTGAGATTAGTTTATCAACGGTTAAGTAGGAGGAAGACTACAATTGCTCGTGTTGGGGATGGCAAATTTATTATTAAACTACGGATTTAACTGACTTATTCTAACTTTGGGCAAAGCGAGTAACAATCTACCAATGTTACACTTTGGTATATTATTGCAGTTGTATTGATTCTTTTACCTGTTATTTGGTGTACTGTACTGAAAATGCACGTCATACATCAATTATCAATGAGAACTACAATAGACATTTAAGACATTTTTTCGGGGAATTTTCTGCGGAAATATTTTTTTTATCAAAGATTAGTATGGGGACTCCATTGATGGGGTACAGGAAATTGCTATTTTTGCCCATAAAATAAGGCGTATTGCTCAGAATACTTGTGCACTTAGTTCAATACCAGTTTATTATTCTCGTGATGTTCCCTAACTTTGTGGTATACCAGTTGCTAAATATCTAACAATCCTGTAATAATAAATGTCTATCGATTACGTAGCGATATCTCAAGCAGATTCACTTTTACCATTAACCTTATCTATACAGGTGGGCCAACGAAAACGAAACGGCAGAGTTATCGTGTTCGTCCAAGCAAATCGCTCGGACAGGTCGATTTTATTCTCAAGGGAAAATATTTTTTTCCTTGCATATGTGGTCCAGCTTAAAAAGTTTTTTTATGTTTGTTAATAGTTTGTGCTACTTTTTTCCGAAATAAGTGTTTGTTCAGTTAATAAAAAATGAATGAGTTTTTAAAATATTTTGTTGTCTGTTGTATTCAAAATCACAAAAACTTTATTGCAGAAGATGTTCCCCTTGATAATAAAATCGACCTGTCCGAGCGATTTGCTTGGACGAACACGATAACTCTGCCGTTTCGTTTTCGATGGCCCACCCTGTATATATAACCCATTCAACGAGTGTCCGTCCGCGTAACCGTTTGATAACGGACATTAGAGATGCCCCTATCGTGTGCATGGGCGTAGCCAGAGTTTTGTTATGGGGGGGCCTAGTGGAGGCCAACCTGACACAAAATTGAATTATTTCAAATTATTGTTCATTATTGGGCACCGAGCAAGCCGTTCACCTTTTTTTAGTATTCAAAACTTTTATTTTAGCTTTAGGTTTTTACAAATCGACTCAACACTTTTTCGGCTGTGATTTCCTGGGGAGGGCACCAGGTTCCCTGGGAGGGGCCGTGCCCACCCAGGCTCCCCCCTCGCTACGCCCATG